AATTTAAAAATGCAGAATTAAATATATTGTTATAATAAAACGTCATGATGATAACTTTAACCTGCGAAATCAATAAAGTACCAGTAACAGTTGTATTAGATTCCGGTGCTAATTGTGTGATTATCTGATATATTTATATTTTAAAACCGCCAATTATTTTCGCTATATAAGAATCAAACTATACCCCATTGGGTAATGGATCCTCGGCCTTCAATCCGCGACGTGCTCGCCTTAAATCTAAGAAAAATAATCCATTATTAATCTATTTTTTAACCCGTATAGTTAAATACAGAATAACTTACCGATATGTCCTCTCCTACAATCAGTGGATGACGGCGGAACTCGAATCTGATTGGCTTTCGGCTTTTCGAGTTTGATTATGCAGTTTAATCCATTTGCATTGTTCAAGTCTTGTCGAGGAATTGTAGGAACAATTGATCCATTCATATTCCGCTCAATTCCATTCTCAAAATCACTATAGACCGAAGAAAAATCATGTATATTATGGAAGAAGGTACTATGGACGAAATATACAACACTGTGTCGAATACCACTCGTGATTGGAAGATTATCATGTAACAAGAAACACGATGAGAATGCCACAAGCTGTCCTGGCCTTAGCGGAATTACGATCTGAAGCTGTGGAAAATAAAGTTCACCTCCCTCGAAATCATCCAATGCGACCAAGCAATATAAGAAATTTGGTTCGTCATTCTCATCTCAGTGGTAATCACTAATCGTGTTAAAATTGATTGCGATCATGGGAAAAATGTTGAATGGTCGAGGTCCAAACGGCCCCCATTTTAATTTGAATAGTTTCTCATATAACCCCGCTTAATTACATTGAATAAAATCATTGACACAATCTGACAACGGCTTTAGAGAGTGAAGGAGATCATTAATACATTTGCGATGGTTGGTGTTATGGGAGCTTGCGGTGTTTGAGCTGGTGAAAGGAAGAAGATTATTTCGCGTGTATACTCCAAAGTGTTCAATGAAGTTTGTCCAAAATTCATTGCTACGATGTGATGGGTTATTTAGTGTATGAAGATAGTAGCGATTGACAGCATTTATAGCTTCTGTGATCGCAGATGGATTATCTAACTTTTCAAGATATAATAAGGTTCTATTTCCACTATCAATGACACACTCTGGTTCCACTATATATCGAAATCGTATGAGTCTTTCCAGTGATCAAAAATCACTATGTGCTGATATAATTAATTGCGTTCTCCTTTTTCGGTTGATATTCGTGGTTGAAAAATTTACGTTATTTCGCAAGTCTAGGGCATGTCTAAGTTTTCTCTACTTATGTTTAAGATGTCGTCATACCTCTCTTCGCTTTATTGGCTCTTTAAAACCCAACCATCGTCCAAAAGCAATCCACAAGCGATTGTCATTATCACTGATGAATGGTAAGTCTGCATTTATTTTGTCCACCTCGCTAATTATATCTACATCGACCAATGTGAGAAAATTTAAAGGAATCTCGGATAAATCGGGATCATCGTTATTAATTTTTGCCTCTTGGATTAAGGTTTCGACAAGTAAATCTCGAGTGGAAACATCTTGTCGAATCTTGTTTTTTTTAGATGACACACAATCTTCGAAATTGATAGAAACACTCGTCTATTCCCTTTCAAGGTAATAAACTTTATCATGCATGCATAATTCTCTGGTTCCGTGTTGGGTTCGGTGCTAGTATTACCGATAAAAAATGTTAACGATAACCAAGCAAATGGCAAAGTAAAAGCCCAATATTCTATTTTTAGGTTTTAGATTACTTAGGATTGCATATTTTGCGGAGCGGACCAATTACTCTTGCCAAAATACTGAGCCATCATCTCCACTTGGAGTATGACGATTATGGCCCTGTTGAATTCCACAACTTGCCGAAGCAAACTCGTGACAAGTAACTTAGGTAATTCTCCTATCAGCACAAAAACCCAACCCTCAAATCTAAAGATTCATAAGAATTCATAAAAATAAATATACCCTCGA